GAACGAGGTTTTGGTGGTACAATCGGTCGTGTCTATGTTGTTTCCCCCTGCGAAGTTGAGAAATTTCATCTTCGACTTTTGCTGTATCATGTTGCCGGTGCCACCAGCTTTGAATTTTTGCGGACAGTAGATGGTGTACTGATGCCATCATTCCAGGCAGCAGCACGAAGACGTGGCCTGTTGACGGGGCAAGAAGAATGGCATCAATGCCTTGATCAAGCTCAAACGTATCAACGCCCCCATGCTCTTCGTCAGCTATTTGCAGTTATTGTGGCTTTCTGTCAACCCAAAGATCCACATGATTTATGGCTTCGTCACCGCGATAGCATGGTTGAAGACTTTCTGTACATAGCCCGCCAAGATTTAAACGATCCAAATTTGCCCATCACGGATGCCATTTATGACCAAGGCCTTTTGGATATTGAATTGGTGCTCTTTGGATTGTCAAGATCGCTTCTTGAATTTGATGGGTTTGTGCTTCCAGCCAACCCAAACAATTATGCCAACAATGAGCCTTTGTTGATTCGTGAGCACCGTCGACTTGTGGAACGACTTGCCCTGATGCCTGCTCCTCAACAAGAATTTAACGAGCATCAGCAATCTGTCCTTAATGCAGTCAATGCATCTTTACGCCAAGCGGAAAATCAGCCAAAGGTGCATTTTGTTGATGGCCCTGGTGGTACTGGAAAGACATATCTTTTCAATGCACTCCTCCAACATGTTCGTCGTGGCAGAGATATTGCGCTCGCTGTAGCTACAAGTGGTACTGCCGCTTTGTTACTCGATGGTGGACGAACTGCACACTCAACGTTCAAAATACCTTTAGAGGTCAACGAAACAACAGTGTATAGCTTTACCCTACGCTCCAATACCGCGCAGCTTATACGTTTGGCAAGATTGATCATCTGGGATGAAGCATCCATGATCAGTAAAAGCGTCATTGAGACTGTAAACAGGAGTATCCAGGATCTCATGAAACATGACGATCCCGCGCTTGCCGATGTTCCGTTTGGTGGAAAGATCATGGTCTTTGGTGGTGACTTTCGCCAGGTATCCAACATTGTATCCTCTCTTCTACTTTGCATGTTTTTTACTATTAAGCGATAGTACTCACAGTAAAGTATATGGTAATAGGTCCTTCCAGTGATACCAAATGCGTCGCGCTCGCAGATCGTACAGCAGTGCTTAAATCGTTCATCCATTTGGCCCAGCGTCACCATCTACCATCTTGAAACCAACATGCGCGTCCAGCAAGCTGCCAACACTAATAATGCAAATGAGCTTCGCGAGTTTGCTCAGTATTTACTTCGCATTGGTGATGGTGCTGAGCTGTTGGTGCCAACCACTGATGATAGAGTCCGGCTTCCAGAACGAATGCTCATGCCACGTTACAACACGTACGAGCTCATCGAAGCCATTTACGGCAGCCTTGACGCACCACACGTGGATCGCGATTACCTCATCAGTCGCTCCATTCTAACTCCAAAAAATGTCGACGTTTCAGCAATCAACGATCTGATACTCGACCATTTCCTAGGCACTATCCACGAATTCCCGAGCGCAGATACTGTGGATGATCCAGAGGATCAAATCACATACCCACCAGAGCTGCTCTATTCCATGAATCTATCCGACCTCCCACCACACTTACTAAAACTCAAAGTCGGTTGCCCAATTATGCTTTTGAGAAACTTGCACACCCAAAGTGGTCTCTGCAATGGGACATGGCTGATTGTACGCTCTTTTCAAAGATATGTACTTGAAGCTGAAATAGCTACTGGACCCCATGCTGGCAACATTGTCTTAATCCCTCGCATAACACTCACACCATTGCAAACACGCTCGCCCATTCTCTTCAAACGCACCCAATTCCCTGTTCGCCTGGCATTCGCTATGACCATCAATAAGGCACAGGGTCAAACTTTCAACACTGTCGGCCTCTACTTGCCTGAACCTCCGTTCACGCATAGTCTACTCTATGTAGCCATGTCGCGCGTCCGCACCCCTTCATCCATCAGAATCATGTTAGATCCTGAGAACTCACGTATCGTGGGTCAGCAAGGCCAAAGCACAAGAAATGTTGTTTTTCACGAAGTTCTTCTATAATTCTTTATGTCACCTACTCTATTTTTACATCGCCCATTCTCTTTTTCTACATCGCCTATTCTCTTTTTTTATATTGCCTATTCTCTTTTTATCAATATCACTACATCATCTTTGTCAACACTTCTTTTCGCATTGCATTCTAAACTGGAGATAGTTAAGTATCCAACTTTGACGACTTTCTATGATAGACTACTTCGCACTGCACAATGATCTTGCTTTTGTTTTTGAAAACAGACAATTAGCATCTAATACCAAAACATTGATCCAACCTCGCTTGACAGGGGGGTTTGGGGGGTTCGCCCCCTACTTGGGGGTCAAGGGGGGAACCCCCTTGCGACGCGTTTCCGTTGAATAACACGGAGCGAAGCGGAGGGGCTCATTCATCCGAGCGAAGCGAGGAAGGACCGCTAGTAAACTATTAAAAGTATTACAAATAAAAGATTTATCTACAAAGTTATATCAATATGAATTCTACCAAGACAAAAAATATAAATGTTTTTTTATAGAGAATTCAGAATTTTTCTTCTTTGAAAAATTCATTAAAGAAGCACTCCATAAGTTGAGGGGGGGACAACTTACAGATTAGGGATCCGTATCAGAACCGTAGAACCGGAACCGAACCGAAACCGAAACCGAGAAAATACGGTTCGGTTCCTACCAAGGACCGAACCAGAACCGAACCGGTTCTGTATACTTAGAACCGAAGAACCGAGAGGCAGAAGATTGCAATCAGCGATTTTGGTAATTAGTATAAAGTAGGCTATAATGGAAGTTACGAACAATGTTATTTCAAAAAGACCACGAAGTAGTGTATTTGCAAGCCATACTTTATTGAAACCTGCAAAAGCAGAAGGGAGTGAAAAATAGTAAAGAAGAGAAGAGAAAAAAATAAAAAAACACTTCTTCTGACGGCAGCTTGCTTTCTCCGCCCATGACGCACATCATTACTTGTTCCTCTACTTTGCTACCCACATTGCATTTTTCTCCATGACGTACTACTTTACTAGATTTATTATGGCTTCTCGATCAGTTTTATCAAGTTTGCATTCCATTTGAGATTGCGCATTCTGGGGCTCATAACAGAATTATCTTACCCATTCACCCTTTGCCTTTTATGAGACACTATACACTATACACACGTAGAGACACAGCAGCTGTATGTACTGCCGGTTGTGGTTCAATTCCTCCAATGTTACGATAACATATTGTACTAGTAATACGAAGTCGCTCTAAGTAAGTACTATAAGCTCCACTTTTTTTTGTAAAAACTGTGCTTCAATCTTTTAACCATGCAATGACCCACATCGTATAAGAATGTTTACATTCTGTTTCTCTTATTCATTTTGAGATCGCTGTTCAATGTACAATAATAAACTATTCTTTTTTACTGCAGTATTCAAGTATACCGCGACATTTGAACACACACATCAGCTTTCATTTAAAGATACCGGATCTTGCCTTTTTTATATACATGAAGGGTTTGGCTCTTCGGTTCGATTCTTCGGTTCTACGGTTCTCGTCGGTTCTAGTCGGTTCTAGTCGGTTCTAGTTGGTTCGGTTCTTGCTTTAGACGATTCGGTTCGTTTCCCTTCAAGAACCGAACCGAACCGAACCGTGCGGATCCCTATTACAGATTAAAGAGAGGAGCAACTTACTCCTGTAAGTTAGGCTCCTCATTACCATTCTGGATTTAATCAATAAAAGTTATATTTATTTATCTTTAAAAGCTTTAATCATTAAAAGGTTCTTTAATCAATTGATATAACATTTATATATTTTTTCTTTTTAATTATTATCTTTTTGAATTTTATCATAAACCGAGATAAATTTTTAAATGTTTCATCTTAGAATAGAAAAAAAATCAAATATTCTAAGAAATATATACATATAAAAAGATAAATCATTTTTTTACTATATTATTTAAATGTATAATCTATTAAGGATATATTAATTAAAAGACATAACATTTTTCATATAAAAATTAAGCTATAACTTCTACAAGATTAACTATATAAGAGATTTATCTATACTTAAAGATTATTCCTTACAGACCAGCGTGTTCCACTTGACTTCTCCAACTATGTCCTTTCGGTAGCTGTTTTTGCTACCTTCCAAGCTTTTGTATCTACTAAGTTCTTTTTCTTTGTCTGCAATCTCTAAGGAAAGTAAAAGTTGGAGTAATCGCACAGCTTTGGATTCTCTAATTGCGATGGCTAGGAAATGTCACAATGGCTACATCCGTAGGATGAGTGTGGACCTGTAAACCTAGAAACCTTACTTGAAGCTCGTATGTTGAATGAAACGAGCAATAGAGCTGCTCGCACTTTGACCAAGGAACTGTCATCAATAACCATATCTTTACCATGATATAATTATAATAGATCATCAACTATTAGACGTAGGAAATTATTGATTTGCTCTATCAATATAAAAAAGAAAGGAACTCAGAATCATATATACGAGACTCCAGAATCAACCAGCAAAAAGATAAGTAGCAGTGTAATCAAATTGGTACCTTTGGAACTTTCATGGGGTCCTGGTGCTATACTGGCTAATATGACATTTAATGACTTGAATCATTCAGATCTTGGTAGGTTATTGGCACAGATAATATGGGTGGGGCTGTGTTGGCCAATCAAAAGTTACTTTAATATTTGAGCCAATCAATGCTTAATTTAGTAGAAATTCCAATAAAATCTCATTCTTTAATATATATCTAGGTAGCACGACCCAATAGAAAGTCTACTAGGAAAGCTGTGTGAAACACCTCAGCATTTCGAACGACGCGATGTTCCCCTACTTCTTTCTCTCCTGTTCGTTTTGACTTGGTCGTAGTCTTCTCCTTCATCTTCTAAAATCATCTCATCTCATGCTAAAGTACAAACGCATTCAAAATGGCACAACCTCGAGGTCAGAAAAATCATCTAAATCACAAAGTAGGTAGACTAAAAAAAAAGAAAGTGCAGATCCTCGTCAGTCTCTACTGTCCTTCGGCAGATAAGGAGAACAGCAAAGCGATACTTCATCTGGTAGCACTGCGTCAGTCTCTCGCAATGCCACTGTCAAGGAAGCAGAAAGCTCGTTGTCCTTAGCCGTGTCTGATACTGATAGCCATGAATCTCAAGCTGCTTCAGCAGAGGATGCGATGACGAGCGATTAAATCCACCCAGTAATTCCTTTGATAGAAATGGCTTTAGCATCTGTGCCTACTGAAGATATAGATGAAATCGTGGATGAGATGGAAGACTCTGAAGACAGTAGTGATGGCGAAGGCAGCAAAGATGAAGCCAAGAATAGTGACCGAAACGGTATGCCGAATGGGAAGAAGCAAATACATTGTGCAGACGGTAATTGAGGAATTGGCTGAAAATGCTAATAAAATAACTTTTGCTCGGCAGCATGCATCATTATATTTATAGCATATAGCAATCCAAAAAAAGCCGAGAAGTTAAGAAATGATGTACTAGACAAATACTTCGAACAGCTGTAAGCTTGGATTGTAGCTCAAAAGTGCCCTAAAGAATACAAAAGGGGAACGTTTTGGGTGCTGCTGCCTGATCTGTTCTTTGCTCTTATCAAAAAGCTCGAGCCCGAGGCGCTGTACTATTCTCGTGTATTCCTTTGGATTCCGCATCTCTTGCTGAAGGACGTTGTGACTTTAAAATGCCAGAGCTGTCAATCTCGCCTCAAGTCCAAAGGATTTACTAATAAACCACGACGAGTTGTAGATATGGCAGAGTGAGTTGACTTGAATTCAATATCTTCTGCAACATGATGCTAATTGCATGTGCAGTTGTTTTTATATTTTGGCAACGCGTTATGAGTACACGAATGGCTCTTGCATTGGATAAAAAAAGTGTCACTGCCAATGATTAAAGCATTATCCGCCAGCTGCCTAAGTTCCTGCAATGTCAATACATAGGATATATGACCCACCGCAGTGGTTTATTGAAGCTTGTGGGGGATCTTTTGCGCCCATGTATGCAAAACGCGGTTGGCCCAAAGCGTTTTCATAAGATACTACAAGAGCTACATCACCTACGCCATTCTCGCCTAGTGTTTCAATACCTCAATGCAGCGCCATTTCGCCACGAGATTCCATCGATCGATCAGGCGTTTGCCAGTACGAAGGCACAGCTAGAAGATTTCTCAGATTTCAAGGATCCCAGCAGATACTCTGGCTGTATTCTGTCAACACAGTACATCAGGATGTTTTACACTGATTATATCTAAAAGCTTCGCCACTAGCTCGACAAACAGATGGAGGTGCTTGATGCTAAGTTTCTCAAAGGAGACCATTCCTTCAAGATAATCAAGCTTATGGGCAAAATCAACGACACAGCAACATTCACAGCACTATATACAGTACTGAACAAATACAAGGAAGTGCGATTACAGTTTTTTGTTCCAACCAAGTCCTTATCACATCTTAAGTACGCATTCAACACAATGCAACGATCATTATCGTTACACGGACATAAACAGCCAGAGATCTTTTTCACGAACAATATACGAGGTGACTGAAACCTGTTGGAAAAAGCTTGGCCATCTTTGATGGATAATGTTTCTCGCATGATAGCCCCGGAGCCTAGTACAACGTCCCAAGAAGTTGATACACATCCAATACTCACGATACCAGATACCATCGTTCCACAGTGCTTCTCTGACGCAGAAAATATATAAGCTGCAGCCAGCATATTACTAGACAAAACAAGAGTTATCCTTGCTGGCGGACGGGTTGAACAACGGCAAGTTGTGGGTTGGATTGGATTGCGAATGGCCTATAGAGTACGGCCAAGGAAAAACTGCTACCATCCAGATCGCCTGAGAGGACACAGTCCACATATACCAAGTCAGTAACTTTACAGAACTACCTGTTGCATTGGAAAACTTACTTTCCAGCGCATTGGTGATCAAAATGGGACGGGCTATCATCAATGATTTGAAAAAATAGCACGCGATTTTAACACTGAGTGGGATGGCGGATATGACGTTAGACATTACTGCAAATCGCGTGGTTTGATAGACCGTGTTAATATGAAGCTAGCCGATATTTGCGAGATCGTACTTCAACATCGACTACCGAAGCCACAAAACATACAGACTAGTAATTGGAATGAGTCCACACTATCAGCAGAGCAGATATGATACGCAGCACTCAATGCCTGGGCCAGTCTTCAAATATACCATCATGCAAAGAATGTCTCTCTACTCGGTCAGAAAATAAGCAGACCCATAACTGAAGGTAGTACATCGCGTATCATCAAAACATAACAAGGAATTGAAAAACTGAAGAATGTACTTACCAACATTTTTTAGGGATGCACATCTCTTATCGCCCCAGAGCTATGATCAGAGCTGCGGCCTATGGTAAAATTAGTCATCAATAGGGGTATCTAAATAGAACAAAGCTGAAGAAAAATCAAGCAATCATTACAATCAAGCATGTGTTAGTTCCTGGTGCACTCGATATAGAAGGGAAACCACTGCAGGACCATGGCGCTGTTCCTTTCCAGACTGTAGCTCGTATATATGATTTGAAAACATATAAGCCTGTTGAGGTTCATGTCAATCAAGAAGTAGAAGATGGCGAGCACACAACATCCAATGGTACAGAAAATAAGAATGCTTAGGATGCCATTATTGAAAATGCGCTCTAAAACGTACAATCGAACTAAAGGACTATACTCTAGAGCCAAGCAACGATGATAGCGATACTGACTCAGTTGCTGATGATGACGACGATAACGAAAGTAGCATACATGGAGCTGATAGCATACAACAAAACCAAAATGGCCTTACAGTATCTGAAGTAGATCAAGAAAGTTGTGTGTTCGGTGAATAAGTGCTGCATACTCTTCCGCAGCATCTACGCAACGATCCAGAATACATGGCTACAAGGGTTCTAAAGGATGCATTCCATCTCATGGACCAGGTAAAAGTACTGCGCAGACATGGTCTAGTAAATGACTTCTCAAGACGATTTCGTGACGCACTCTTTGTTGTTGATGAAGAGGACAAAAAACGTGTTGAGGAATTTTTGCAGAAACAAGGAACGACATGGGAATACAAACTTATTAAAAAGCCATCATGGGTGTTCAGGCATGTTAAGCGTAAGCATACAAATGAATAATTTTAGAACTTTGACGCATCACTATATAGGCTTACATCTACTCTGAAAGAGAGAGAGGTCGTTACGATTCAATCCCAGCACTATCCTTTTTTGGATACTTCAATTTGCAACACCCATGCTATTTTTCCTTACACGTTCCTGAGAGACTTGGGTAAACTTCAACTTTGTGTCGTCTTTTTGAACTATTACTATATTGCATTTCTCAATATGAGTTCCCAAGAGGTGTGTTACTTGGTTTCATCTGCCATCAATGACATTTGAGGTGTTTTTGTGAAAATCGTTGAGCATCTTTCCCCATTTGCCAGGATTCTGACAAACTACTCTAAATAAGCTTCAAGTTTACTAACTAATTTTTTTCTGCACATTTCTCGACAAAGCAATCAACCGATCATGTCTGTCACTGTGGCTCAAATCGCAATATGCCATGTCTAGTGCATTCTCGCAATGTTCGCCGTAGAATAGGCAACGTATGTTATAACCATGTATATTTAAATATTACTGCAGCAGCAGTTTGCTTACTTTGAAAGCTACAGATAGTTTGTTTCTGTAGACCCTACTGCGCCTACCTTTTGCGTCTGTGGCTCGAGCACCCATCGTCGGCGTAGTCATAGAGAATGCCCACTTAACCCTATCAACCACAGTACTGTCTACTTACTTATTTTAGGTGATAATGCAATTTTCGCTGAAGATTACTGACAATCCTCCTCCTACACTTCCTATAGCTACTACCTCGCCACCATCACCTGCACCTATCATCAACAGTTTGTCTCCACCAACTTCTCCTATTGTCGCTGCCTCGCCACCACCACTACCCCCTTTGTTGCTGCCTCGCCTCCACCACCATCTCCTACCGTTGCCAATCCTCCCTCAACAACTACGCCTACTCTTACCACCACCGCACGAGTTATGCGTTGCACCAGTTGCTGGGCACCAACATACATGCGCCGCACCCACCGCCTCTGCCCTTTTAACCCGAGCAATGTCCAGCACGAGCATGGGGCACAATACCACATTGCGCGTGTAGTCCCCTTCGATCCAGAAGACGTTTTTGGGCCAAATGTATGCTATGCTGCTGGCGACTCCTTCTATCGTCATGTGTTGCTGCGGATGGATTCCTGTTGTCCATTTTGTGGTGCGCTGATGTGGTTGGATGAAAAGCTCAAAGCATCGTCTATACGTAATCCTTGCTTTGGTCTCTGCTGTCTTTCCAGGAAAATTCAATTGCCACTTCCTCGCACTCCTCCTGCTCCACTTCGCGACCTCCTAACGAATCATGATCGCAATAATTCTGTTAGTGTCAACTTCCACACCATCATTAGGGCATATAACAGTATGTTTGCATTTGCATCCATTCTTGGTGATAACGTCGATCCAGTCCTAGTAAGTGGCGCTGGTGGCGTGCCCACTTACTGTATCAATGGTACAATGTACCATGCTGTTGGTGCACTGAGACCTGACAACCAGGCGCAAGCGAATTATTCGCAGATCTATTTCGTGGATACGCAGGAGCAACTGGTAAGACGTACGAGTTTGTTTTCCGGGCTTCTTCGTGAGACGATCCAATTGCTGCAAGGTGTCATGGAAACACACAATCCTTTGGCACGCACCTTCGTTTCTGCTGTTGAAGCTCTTGGCGACCAACCACTTGGAACCCTTCAAGCTGTCATCCGGCAAAGCGATTTGGGCCGTCGCTATGATCAGCAGGGCTACCCTGAAGTGGCGGCAATGGTTGTTGAACGCACCGTGGATAGCACTGCACGCGAGCATGACATTGTCATTCGTGATCGTGCTAATAGTCTTCGTCGTATCAGCTCCTTGCACGCATCGTATATGCCGCTCCACTATGTCCTGATGTTTCCATTTGGCGACAATGGATGGTTCCAAGGTTTGACTTGTGAATCGGTGTCGCACGACACAATCCAAGTGACGCTGCGTGAGCATTGCGCGTACCTGCTCATGATCCGTAATGGCGATCGCGAGACATTCATGCACTGTTCTGGGCGGCTCTTCCAACAGATGGTGGTTGA